TGGTCCTAGAACTGACCCCTGTGGGACCCCGCTCGCAACAGGCGCCCACTGTGATACCTCTTCACGTACCAAGGCTCGTTGCTGCCTCCCTGTCAAGTATTCCCTTATCCATTGCAGTGCCCTCCCTTTTACATGTGCCTGATCCTCCAGCTTCTGCACTAATCTCTTGTGGGGAACTGTGTCAAAGGCCTTCCTGCAGTCTAGGAAAACGCAATCTACCCACCCCTCTCTCTCGTGTTTTACTTCTGTTACCTTGTCATAAAACTCCAGGAGGTTTGTGATACAAGATTTGCCTTCCATGAACCCATGCTGGTTTTCATTTATAGTCTTGTTCCTTTCCAGGTGTTCGACCACTCTCCTCCTGATAATCTTCTCCATGACTTTGCACACAATACATGTCAGAGAGACAGGTCTGTAGTTTAGTGCCTCTTTTCTGTTTCCTTTCTTAAATATGGGGACTACATTAGCTGTCTTCCATTTCTCAGGTAGTTGCCCAGTTTCAAGGGATGTGTTGAAGATTGTGGTTAGAGGCACGCACAGCATCTCTGCTCCTTCTCTAAGGACCCATGGGGAGATGTTGTCCGGTCCCATCGCCTTTGAGGTGTCAAGGTCACTTAAGAGCTTCTTCACCTCCTCCTCAGTTGTTCGTATGTCATCCAACACTTGTTGGTATATTCCCTCTTGATGTTCCCTTCTGTGCTGTCTTCCCACAGCCCTTCCTGTCTCTACTGTAAAAACTTCCTTAAATCTCCTCTTCAGCTCCTCACATACCTCCTGATCATTTCTTGTGAGTTCTCCACCTTCTGTCCTTAATCTGATCACCTGGTCTTTGACTGTTGTCTTCCTCCTGATGTGGCTATACAACAGTTTCGGGTCAGTCTTGATTCTCGATGCTATGTCATTTTCATACTGTCGCTGGGCCTCCCTCCATACCTGTGCGTACTCATTCCTGGCTCTACGGCTGATCTCCCTATTTTCGTGTGTTCTCTGCCTTCTGTACTTTTTCCATTCTCTATTGCATTTTGTTTTTGCCTCCTTACACCGTCGAGTAAACCAGGGGCTCGTTCTGGTCTTCCCGTTGTTACTGTTGCCCTTGAGAATAAACCTTTCCACTGCCTCCTTGCATTTTGTTGTTACATATTCCATCATTTCATTTACTGGCTTTCCTGCCAGTTCTCTGTCCCACTGGACCTCCCGCAGGAAGTTCTTCAACCCTATGTAGTCCCCTCTTTTATAGTCAGGCTTTTCCCATTCAACTCCTGTTATTCTCTCCACTTGCAGCTCTACTATGTATTCAAAGCACAGAACCACGTGGTCGCTAGCTCCTAGGGGACTCTCATACTTGATGTCCTCAATGTCTGAGCTGCCCAGGGTGAACACAAGGTCCAATCTTGCTGGTTCATCCTCCCCTCTCACTCTGGTAGTGTCCTTAACATGTTGGTGTATGAGGTTTTCCAGCACCAAGTCCAACATCCTGGCTCTCCATGTTTCGGGACCCCCATGTGGCTCCAGGTTTTCCCAGTCAATCTCCCTGTGGTTGAAATCCCCCATAACCAGCAACTTTGCTCTGCTGGAGTGAGCTCTTCATGCCACCTCAGCAAATGTGTCCACCATTGCTCTGTTGCTCTCTTCATATTCCTCTCTTGGCTTCCTGCAGTTCTGTGGTGGATTATTCATCACTGCAATGACCACTTTGTGTTCCCCAGACTGAAGTGTACCTGCTATGTAGTCTCTTTCTCCCGTCTCATCTATGCCTTCCATTTTCTCGAATTTCCATCTGTTTTTTACGAGCAGAGCAACCCCACCTCCCCCCCTGCCCCTTCTATCTTTCCTCATGATCTGGTATCCTGGTGGGAAGATTGCATCTGTTATTGTCTCCTTGAGTTTTGTTTCTGTAACTGCTATGATGTCTGGGGACTTCTCATTGATTCTTTCTTGCCATTCCTCATGTTTATTCGTTAATCTATCTGCATTTGTGTACCAAACCTTCAACTTCTGTTCTAATACTGTAACTGTGGTGCGGGGGATGGAAACAGAGGGATTGGTGTGTGATGGTTGGTTTGGATTGTTCAGTTGCCTTGGGGGTGTCGTGGCTGGAGTCCTTCTGCAGGTGTTTCTGGGGGGTGCGCTTGTCCTTCCATTTGATCCTGGGTTATTCTGCTCTCCTTTTTCATTTCCTCCCATTTCTCCTTTCGGTTTTGAACTCTCTCTTTCATTGTCTTCCTTTCGTCCTGTGTTCTGTCTCGATCGAGGTACACACTCCGGAACTCCTGCTTGCCTCTCAGCCGTGCTTTCTCCTGCAGGATCATGGTTCGGGTTGATTCTGCCTTGAAAATTACTTTGAGAGGCCGATTCCTTTTCTTTGTGAACCACCCGATTCTCCGAAAATTTGCCACCTGTGTGTGTGTGTGTGTGTGTGTCTGTGTGTGTGTATGTGTGTGTGTGCAATGTGTATGCCGAATAGGTAAAATTGGTCAATTAGCAAGAACTCATTTTAAATTATATCCTTTCTATAATTTTCTTTTATACATTTAAAGATATATATGTTTTTTTCATCTATGATAATGTAAAAATTAATAATTTTGTACCAAAATAACTTTAGAAAACTTACCTAACTTTATTATAACAAACTCAATTTAATTTAGCCCACTCGCTCCACTTCTCTTCTGCTTGGCAGTAAGAGAATTAACTTCCAGCCTACGCAGCGAGCTCAACATCTGGTACCTGGATGATGGCACTCTGGCAGGTACTGAAGAGTCCCTGTTAGAGGACCTGCAACTGGTGAAAACACAGGGAGAAGACTTGGGACTCGTCCTCACTCTCTCCAAGTGTGAAGTCATCACAGCAAACCAGGAAATAATCAATGCCGTGCTAAGAATCCTCCCAGAGGTCTCTACTACCACTCCGTCCAACAGTACCCTCTTGGGAGCACCGCTGGGTCACCAGGCCATCGACACAGTCCTCAAGGGCAAATTGAATGACCTGATGAGAATGGAGGAGAGAATAAGCGATCATGATGTCCATGATGCTTTGTATCTCCTCACAAGGTGTCTTACTATGCTAAGACTCACCTACTTCCTGAGGTGTGCACCCTCTTTTGACAGCCCAACACTCGACGAATATGACGCACACCTGAGATCAACCTTCAAGAAGGCACTGAACCTGTCACTAGAGGATCGGCAATGGGATCCAGCAATCCTCCCAGTGCGACTGAGAGGTATAGGGGTGCGCAATGCAACGCATGTAGTATTACCTGCTTTTCTGTCTTCGTTTTTGGCTTCCAGTGCATTAGTCAAGAAGATCGTCCCCTAACGCTTGAGAGACGTGGTAGGAGCTCAAGACCCCAGGTTTACTGAATCAAACCGATCATGTAAAAAATCGCCAACGCAATGCTCACAAAGCTTCAGGAAAGGACAAAGCTCGTCTCCTAGCGGTGAAGGCACCACACTCAGGAGATTTTCTTCTAGCTGTTCCCAGTTCCTCCCTGGGCACTCGACTCAACCCACAGGCCATTCGGACTGGTGTTGCTCTTCGCCTAGCCGCCACCATCCTCTCCGATCATAGGAGTATTTGCGGCAGGGCGACAGCTGATCAGTTCGGACTTCATGGGCTCGTGTGTCATATATCAGAAGGGAAGTATGCCAGACATGAGGAAGTCAGTGACATCATAAAGAGAAGCCTTGCCACAGCCCGCTGCCCAGCTCAACGGGAACCCCATGTGCAGAGGTCTGATGGAAGTCAAAAGAATCCTGATGGGGCCACTATGCTACCCTGGAAGGATGGAAAGCAGATTGCCTGGGGCTACACCTGTGCTGCACACTGGCGGCACAGGTGTAGCTGAAGGTGGTGGAGCTGCCAGCCACAGGGAGACCCAGAAGACCCGCAAATACGAAGACCTTCCCTCTTGTTATAATTTCATCCCAATAGGGCCGGAGACACTTGGAGCATGGGGCAAGTGTGCTCTAAAGTTCCTCAAAGAACTGGGTGAAAAACTCATCATAGAGACCAAGGACCACAGGGCGACCAGCTTCCACTTTCAGAGACTCAGTGTCGCAATCCAGAGAAGAAATGCCTTCAGCATTCTGGGCACGCGGCCCACTGCCGGGGAGCTGGACGAAGTATTCGAGATGTAGCTCTGAGTTGTTATCTATGTTGTTTTACTCCGTATTGCATTTTTGTCAGTGTATTTTGTCAATATATCTTGTTTTCAAATAAAACATATGTAGAATATATAGGAGGTGGTAGGAGAAAATTTTCAAACAGCTTCAGGGAGAACCTTGAGTTTTCCCTGAAGCAAGTTCATTCTTTTCTCTGAAGATTTGGGTCCCCAGGACAGTTCTAGAGTTGGTGCTGCGCTAGCCAAGGACTCGAGTCCTTGGCTAGTGCAGTGTTGTTATTGATCAATACCACTCGTTCGTGGTCACAATAATGTAAAATACTGCTCGTTGAACTAGTACACCAAACAGGGACTAGAATGAAATTAGTCTAGAGCCATCTACACCATCGTGTGTCCTTGGGTAGCGAGTACAACATTCAGTTCCGCTGGATGCGCTACTCTTAAGGATTGTATGGTTCATTGGATAAGGGCGTCATGTGTTTTCGCCCACCATGAGGCAGGCCAAAGCAGCATGGGTTCGAGTCCTTGGTTAGTGCAGTGTTGTTATTGATCAATACCACTCGTTCGTGGTCACAATAATAAACAGGAAAACTTGCACGCACTTGATCTTCAGAGTAATAGGTAGGTTAAGTAATAGTTGCACATTTTATGCTACCAAGTGTATTGATGCTTACATTAGAAAAGTCTCTGCCAGACTTTATTCTTTTTCTTCCTGTTTCTCTGGTAGTGTGGTGGTCTGCTGGCTATATTTCCCAGGCTTCATTTTGTCTACCTCGCCTGTCAGCGCCATCTTTTGGCCTGAGATATGCACATTTAATTTGGTTCCTGCCAATTCCGTCTCTTTATCTCTTTTTATTTTATTTGCCTGTGTTCCCAGGAGTCTCTGAGCTCCTCATCCCTGGTGTTGGACTTCATAGTTTTATTAGTGTTCCTTGTGTATTTATCTACTATAGGGAATTTAAGTACTTGTCTCAGTTTGTGTTAGTGTTATCCTAAGTGACAGTATTCTTGCCTTAACGTAATTTTAATAATTCTCCTCCCTTTTGATACAACTTTATGCAGCGTACTAGTTAATTATACAACACATTCTTATATTAAATTTTATCCCGGCCCACAGGTCTGCTCTCCCACACATGTGGGGGGCGTTGTCACTGGTACTGGTGTTTGTTACGTGGAGCCAGTGTAATTAAGGTTACCCATTGGTGCTTCAACACTCTTCCTGTACACTCATCTCATACTGTATGAACCTTGTGAGTTTAGAGCTTAGTTTTGATTGTAATAATAATAATAATAATAATAATAATAATAATAAAAGCCTTCAAAGCTTCATGATTCATCGAGTGTTGTACCATTATATATAGTAGAACTAGTCAACTACTTCCTATCATTTATTCTCGACGTCCCTTAACCACAATTCTCATAAACTGGTACTTGCACTGACACTGCTTATTCGTGCTGCTACCAGCCATCATCTTCAACAGTCAGCTTGATAACACAGCCATCAACTCCATCCCTCATCTCCCTTTATACTAGATAAGTACATCAATCAATGACTTTATACATCCCCTGGTTTTGATAGTATATTCACGTGACTATAATGGATTCCTGTTATTTCTGTGTTATCTAAGTTTTTCATTTTTTGGTTGTAAGAAAGTTGTGCATTGATGCTACATCACTGTTTATCTTTGGTTATTTTTTTATTCTTGATTTTTACTGACATAACTTGAGACCTTGACGGGATTTACAAGAATACAAGATTTAACAAGATCAGTCAGTCTTTAGCTGTTGTTTTAAGGTTGTGTCACAATGTAAAATGGGTGTCAGGTTTTTGTTTTGCTTCATAAGTTAATAGGAAATCAGTACTGTCAACCTTCATCGTTTTAACTTACGTAAAAAATCGTAAGCGTAAAGAAAGTAACAAGAAGTAACAAGAAAGTAACAAAGTAACAAGAAAGCGTAAGTGTAACTTACGCTTTCTTGCTAGTTTTGGGTTTCCATTCTTGTATCAGGAGAACACCTATGATAATCTCCTATTTTACGTTAGTCTTCTGCATTAGCAGCTTTGCTGCTATTAATATAAAAGCGGATTTGGGTTTGCCTTTCTATTTAAATAGGAGTGCAGTAATTTTCCTTCCTGTGTTTCGTTTTATAGTTTTCAGTCGATTTTCTCTTCTCCTTTTACTTATCTGTCTTCTCTTGAGTAATCTGGAATTATACCGAACGAGTGTGTACTGTGTCATTTCGTTAAGAATGGAAGCTTCTACGTTTTGGATGAATGTTGGTAAAGAATTGGGCCATTCAGGCAGTAATCTAAGCTATTTCGTAGTTGTTAAGTTAGAGTATGAATGATCTAGGCTAGAGCGTGAAGTCATGAAAGAGAGCAATAGAACACTGTAACCAGAGCTTAGATAAGTTGGGGGAGGAAGAAAGGTACATAAGGATGGATTATGTAGGAAGGTGAGGGGGGAGAGGGAGTAATAAAGGTCAGTGATCCAGTCATATTTGGCATATATTAATAAAGGTTGTGTGTGTGTGTGTGTGTCTTGTATAATCAGGTGATTGGTATACCACACTACCCGTCAGAGGCAGACGTGTATACAAGATACATACATGCTTGACAGTGAACTCGAGGTAGTTACATTTATGTCATTGCCAGAGCGACTGCAGCGCGAAAAGGAGAGATTGGCTCTGGAAGCACAAAGATAATTAGTGAAACAAAAATATGATAGTAGAGCTGCAGAGCGGAAACATGTAGTGAAACATAAGGAATTAGAAGATTTAACTGAACATAGGCAGTAGGAACAACAACGGGATTAAAAACATTTAAAGTTAGAACGTAATAAATTAGAGCTTGCTAATAAGAAGGCTGATGAAGGCAGTCTTGAGTCAACCTGTAAGTGCGGGCTTTAAATTACCTAAAATACCACCTTAGGCTGACGAGGATGACATAAGTGCCTATTCGATCTTTTTTGAAAATACAGCTACGCTTTGTTAGTGGCCCTCTGATTACTGGGCCGCAAGATCAACTTTATTGTCCATAGGTACTACTCTAAATATATATATCCTACTTTACCTAGAGAGGTCGTTTAAGATTAGAATCAGATTAGTAACAGCGCCTCTCTCGCGCACAGCAGACGGAGGATCAAGCCTCCACATATGGTTAGTGCTTAACATGAGTTATTATTTTCCAACCATAAAAAACACTAGACTTTGATTCACTCCGTAACCTCGTGTTTACAATACCGATAAGACGAAGAGTCAGACACTGCAACATCTGGGTATCTTTATTGTAGACGTTTCCCCATCCAGTGGCTTTATCGATACAAGAGCATAATGTGAAGAATGTAGAATTATATACAAAAAATTTAAGTAATTAGCCCTGAGGTAATTAGCCCTTCAGGTATGAAGGGCTAATTACCTCAGTTATGAAGCTTGGTGCTTATATACCGGCGTCAGGTAGGAAGGATTTCCCAGTGGAGGTAGGCCATACCCAAGTAACGAGCCAGTAGTGAGAAGGTTGTGGTGATGTCCTCTGTATCAAGATATCAAGATGTTGCAGTGTCTTACAAGTTATACAAAATAAAGAATTTGACACTCGTGCAACCTACTTCAACTGAGAAATCCCGCCTACAAGTGACAATGCCTTCGTTTGCTGCACGTCCCTCACCTGACGCCTGTACATTAATCACCAAGTTTCATGCATGTGCTTCAGAATCTTGAAGATTACGGTGCTCTACACCAACTCCAAGATTGTATTGATAAAGTAACTGATTGGCGAAGCATCTATAAATGAAGATTCCCAGATGCTGCACATGTGGATGATGAATTCCTCTCATCAGTCCTTAATGAAATCAGCGTTTCCATCCGAGACAAAAGTTAGTTTCTCCGGTTGAGATTACTGAACCCGCGGATGTGTCCGCCTCGGCTCATAATTATCCTAATGAGGGTGTAAAATCTACGGCTGAAGAGCTGAAGCCGTCTAAACCTAAACAACCTGGAAAAACTCTGCTCTTATTATAAAATGTTTAACATATGGTGAGGCAGAACACAAAAAAAGATTGTCCTAGAAGAGAAACCGAAACTATTGGCAGATTTTTTACTGATATGACATAAATATACCTTAAAGTTATGAAACAATATAAGGTGCACATACCTACATTTTTTAGGCATACAGATTGTCCTTGTGTAGTTATTCGAGATTAGTTGCTTTCTAACCTCGATCCGTCTAAATTTAAATTTGTAACTTTAAGTGATTACCGTAAGAGATCTGACAGTTTCCCTGCTGCTCGTTGCTATCTCAAATGCAGATGGTGCTCTGGCTGGACCGATGCAGTCATTACCAAAATAACTTCATGCTCGATCTTAGTAGGAGAAAACTAAAGGGCTGATTTCCCAACTGTACTTGATAAGTCAGAGAGTCCTGGTATTTATGTTTCTTCCCATTTTTTTTCAGAGGATACTGATTCTTACGAATCCGCGAAAGAGAAAGTTCTACATGGCTGCATTGCTACAGAGGTAAATTCACCAGAGATCGACGAGGTAAATTCACCAGAGATCGACGAGGTAAATCCACCAGATATCGACGAGGTAAATCCACCAGATATCGACGAGGTAAGTCCACCAGAGATCGTCGATAACACCAGTGTCGAGTCGCCATCAACTCCTAAGGTGTAAAGTAAAAGGACACAAGTGCAACTAATGTGACATTTATTGTAGCAACGTTTCGCTCTCCAGGAGCTTTATCAAGCTTGATAAAGCTCCTGGAGAGCGAAACGTTGCTACAATAAATGTCACATTAGTTGCACTTGTGTCCTTTTACTTTACATATTGTCGGTAATTCTACCAACTTTATTACAACTCCTAAGGTACCACACTGGTACCTACCTTCACTATATCCTGTTCAAACATCTGTAAATGTGGTAACACTATTCATGTCTAAGGTTAAGAAATTATATAATTTCTTATTCCCTGATGTCAAGCCACTTGACATCTCGCAAAACGATTTTGACAGCCTTCAAAATAATTCTTCTGGTCTTGAGAAGTATCATAAAATAACTGAAAGTGGTGAAGTGATTCAAAGGAAACATTTATAATATATGATTCTTAATAAATTTAGAAATGATAATTACCTCTACTAAACAGACGACGGCTCATTAAATATCTCCTGATTTGTCAGTTTCTGGTATTTTTCTCATAGAAAAGCACCATTAAAAATTAGACTTACTTTTGGCTTGGGATACTTAGAGATATTAGAGACCAGTGTAAGTCGTGCAGTGTACGTATACCAGTTAACTTCATGTAAAGGCCGAAACTTTCCAAGATCAAGTTAGATTTTTTTCAGTCTCCTTTGATTGTGGGTCCCGCTGTATGACCCTTGTAGGTTTAGTGCTTCTTTTTGAATGTAATGATAATATTGTGGGTCCTGTCTCGTCGTTCATTTGGTGGCCACATGTGTGTGTGTGTCTGTCTTATAAACACGAAATACGATAGGTACATCTTGCTACTTCTACTTACATTTAGTTCACTTTACACATATGTAAACACGTATATGTATGTACACTCATCGGAATTTTCTTATATTTTCTTAATAGTTCTTGTTCTTTTTTATTTTCGTTTCATCTCCATGGGAAAGCAGAAAAAAATAATTCCTGTGTAAGTCATGCATGTGGCAAAAATGCCTGGAGTAAGGGGCTAGTAGCCCCTTCTTTTGTAAATATTAATATAAGAAAAACTTTATAAAGATGGGATGTTTGCAAGTGTGTGAATGTAGTGTAGATGATATGAAAGAGGCGATTGCCAGTGTTATGAATAAAAAAAAAAGCTGGATACTTTGGCTCTAAGCAAAACAAAGCTGAAGTGGGTAAGGGAGTTTCAGTGGGAAAAAATAAATGGGATTAGGTCAGGAGTTAGAGCTGAGGATGGAGTAGCAATAATGTTGAAGGATCAATTATGGCTGGAAAAGAGAGAATATAAAAGAATAAATTCAAACATTAAGTGGATTAAAATAACGATTTGATTCGATAAGTGGGTTATAGTGAGTGTTTATACACCTGGAGAAGAGAGGAATGTAGAGGAGAGGCGGGCGAAGCGGCATGCAGTCGGGCTCCCCTTCGGCAGCACCCGGGAAGCAGCAGCACCCAACAATACAGCGCCAGTGCAGCCAACAACAGCCACGATGCCCCGCTCCGCCCCACCGCACAACTTCACTTGAGCGAGACTCAGCCACAGCAGCCTTTTCTGCAGTAACAACTGGTGGACCCGCCTTACCCACAGCACTCAGCAGGCCTCGCTGTGCCTCCTCTGGCGCCTCTGATCACCGAGTTCTCCGGCTTCTTGTACACGTTGATTCCTGCCTCAGACCTTCGGGAGTCTTCTAGAGACTCGGCTGAGCATTCTTCTTCTAGGCAGGGAGGGATCGGATGACTTTTTGGACCGGCTGGAGGCCAGCCTGCAATGGAGCAGCAGTGCCGGGGAGGCGCAGATAGCAGCACAAAAGACACCTAGAAGACCCACCCTCTCAAAATTCTGTACTGAAACATCTGCGGTCTCTGCCGCAAGGTGGCGTCCTCAGCCTCACCCTATTCAATGTCTTTATGGCCTGGAAATGACGTCCCGAAGGCGAGTGTTACGCAGGTTTCTGCATTAATAAAATAAGGTGTTTATAGTGAAAAAAGTGATCCATAATTTTATAAATAATGTCATTAATTTGTGGGCGCTTTTATGGAGTGAAGTCACGGCGTGACTGTGGTAGCGGAGTAACTGTTGTGATAGCGCCTGAGAGAGGTGATGTAGCTTGGATCTAAGTACCTTGAATTTTTTGTTATAATTCTCAGGCCGTACGCTCGTTTTGGGTTTATATTTACGCTCACGTGTGCCCTGATATGGGCCTGTCCCTGTTGTTTGAGTTGGGCCTGTGTGTTCGGGTAAGATTCTGAACTAACAGTGCGTTTAACAGGAGGCTAGAAGCCGACTCGGAGTCGGTAATTTTTGTGTCCCGCTGTTTATTTGTTCTTGTGTATTAGCCTTAATTACCTAGTAGTGGTGTACTAAGTTGTTCTATGAGATGTGGTAAAGATAGGTTTTGTTTTATATATAGTTACTGGAAATGTCAGGGGAACGCCTTCCGCCTGACATAAGCAAATTTGATGATGACACCAAAATTGGCTGTCCAGTTCATTCTAATGAGGACAGAGCACTCCAGGATGATTTGAATAGACTGATGCAATGGTCGGAGAAGTGGCAGATGCAGTTTGATATAGACAAATGCAAAGTTCTAAACGTTGGACAGGAAAATAACCATGCCACATATAAACTAAATAATGTAGATCTTAATACTACTGATTGCGAAAAGGATTTAGGAGTTCTGGTTAGCAGTAATCTGAAACCAAGACAAGAGTGCATTAGTGTTCGCAATAAAGCTGACAGAATTCTTGACTTCATATCTAGAAGTATAAATAATAGAAGTTCTTAGGTTGTTCTTCAATTCTATATATCCTTGGTTAGGCCTCATTTAGACTATGCTGCACAATTTTGGTCACTGTATTACAGAATGGATATAAATGCTCTGGAAAACTTACAAAGGAGGATGACAAAGATGATCCCATGTATCAGAAATCTTCCCTATGAGGATAGACTGAGGCCCTGAATCTGCACTCTCTAGAAAGGCGTAGAATTAGGGGGGATATGATTGAGGTGTATAAATGGAAAACAGGAATTAATGAAGGGGATGTAAACAGCTTGCTAAAAATATCTAGCATAGACAGGACTCACAGCAATGGTTTTAAGTTGGAAAAAAATCAGATTTAGGAAGGATATAGGTAAGCACTGGTTTCGTAACAGAGATGTGGATGAGTAGAACAAACTCCCGAGTACCGTCATAGAAGCTAAGACGTTGTGTAGTTTTAAAAATAAGTTAGATAAATACATGAGTGGGTGTGAGTTGGACCTGATTAGTTTGTGCTACTATTTCAGATGCCGTGCTCCTTCCTTAACTGAATGTGACTGACCTGACTAGGTTAAGGCATTGGCTTAAGCCGATGGGAAAATTGAACCTGCCTCTCATGGGTCAGCAGGCCTTCTGCAGTGTTCCTTCTTTCTTATGTTCATATACATGAACACGCATATATTTATACACACAGATCTGAATTTTCTCCTATTTTTCTAAATAGTACTTTTTATTTTTATTTTCTTTTATCTCCATGGGGAATTGGAAAAGAATCTTATCTCTGTAAGCCATGCGTGTCGTAGGAGGCGACTAAAATGCCGGGAGCAATGGGCTAGTAACCCCTTCTCCTGTAGACATTTACTAAAAAAGAGAAGAAGAAAAACTTTATAAAACTGGGATGCTTGAATGTGCGTGGATGTAGTGCGGATGACAAGAAAGTTTTGATTGCCAATGTTATGAATGAAAGGAAGTTTGATGTCCTAGCTGTAAGCGAAACAAAGCTGAAAGTGGGTAGGAGAGTCTCGGTGGGGAGAAATCAATGGGATTAAGTCAGGAGTATCTGAGAGAGTTAGAGCAAAGGAATCGGGTAGCAGTAATGTTTGTATGGGAGGTGGAGAATACTAAGCTAAGTCTGGTAAAGGACATGGTTGAAAGATACTACTTAGCTTCAGTGACGGCTCACCGTCCCGCAGCTGTCCCCGGGTCGTTCCTTTGAGGAGCCATCTATTATCCAACCCTGAGCTGTGGGAGTGATGAGTAAATAATTGCCCCAAAGGAGCGTATATTTCAGCATTTCACATGAACATAATGCTGAATGAATTGATACATGTTTGGGCACAAAAGTCCTCCCCTTACTGCCGTCTATAGGACAGCCTCAATCACCTTGTGTCAATACGAAACTGCAGCGTCTAGTTTTAACAAGAGATTGAGACCTACCTTGGTCTTTGTAGAGTGAGCGGTGGTGTTGACAGCACCACATACGACAGGTATAAGTGACTTGTTTGGATAAGTAGTGTCTCGTACTGTTGCACTGTCCTTCACTACACTACACTAAAATCCAGATTTGTCCTTTGTGGTAATTTCACAACAGGAAGATAGTTACACTTCACTGTAATAGTTCTACCATGAATTTTGAGATTGTCAATGAACGAGAAACAAAAACGTGCGGATCACTAGTGTTCTTTGTCCGTTCTCCCCGCGTGAAGCACGTTTCCCCGTTCGTTTCTTAAAGCAATCTGATCCCTGAAGCAGAATTCGCCCTGGGCGCGGCCCGAAGGTGCTGACTTCAGCCTGATTTCCCTCCTTGCTTAACATTGTCACAGTATTCAACATGATAGAATACTGAATATGATAGATTTCCTGTTATCTAACTATCGACGACAGTTCATTATTGTCTTACATTGTAAGTAAAGTGGTGCAGGGTTTTCCTGTAACATCCCTGCTAAGGTGAAGAGAGTTATATTTCTCATCTCACTGTCACTCATACACGAATACTATGATGCAACACTAGGTGGCGTGACTTATGACGATGCCACTAGCTGTGTGTGGATTTCATTAAACTGTTTATGCGGAAACAGGAGAGGCCATCAGCCCCTCTGGAGGGCTGAGTCCCTCAGGGGGCTGAAGGAGGCTGATAAGGCTGAAATTCCCTTTCTGGAGAATTTTCTCCACAGTGTTGAAGGATCAGTTATGGAAGGAGAAGAGGGAACATAAATGCATAAATTCAATGATTATGTGGATTACAATAAGGGTCAGATGCGAAAAGTGGGTTATAATAAGTGTGTACCTGGAGAAAAGAGGAGTGTAGAGAGAAAGAGAGAGACAGAGACAGAGACAGACAGAATAATTGTGGTTGGGGACCGATATGCTAAAGTGAGACAAGCGGTTAGAGAGGAGTGCCAGGTGTAAATGATAATGGGGGGGCCTTTGATTGTACTTTGTATAGAAAGGGTTTAGTTAGAGGTAGTACATATATTTTGAGAAAAAGGGATAAGTATACAAGATATGATATAGGGCATAATGACAGTAGTTGGACTATGAAATGGTAAATAAAAGAGAGATGGGTAGACATCAGGGTCCACGGATATTTCAGATCACCTTTTTAGTTGCAGCTACAGTGAGAGTAAAAGGTAGATGGGATACAAGGAGAATGGAATCTGCAAGTAAGGGAGAGCTGAAGGTTTGTATCTGAAGGAGGAGGCTGTTAGGGTAAAATATAAACAACTATGGGAAGAAAGATGGATTAGTGAGAGTATAGGCAATGAGGATGAAGAGGTATGGGACAGATTTAAAAATGTAGTGTTAGTGTTCAGCAGAAGTTTGTGGTTACAGGAAAGTGGGTGCAGGAGGGAAGAAGAGTGAATGATGTAATGATGAGGTAATAATAGTAAGAGAAAAAGTTAACATATGAGAGGTTTTTACAAAGTAGAAGTGATACAAGGAGTATATTGAGAGAAAAATAGAGGTTTAAATAGCGGTGAAGAAATGTAAAAGGAGAAAAAATTAGAGAGTGGGTGTGAAGGCTTACTCAGCCCTGTAATAACTTCAGACAGTATTACCAAGGCTGGCTCCTCCTCAGGAAAATTAATGAATAGAAAAAGAAATAATAACAGACAAACATAAACACTTTATTATATATAAAATATAAAATATAAAACACTTAAATATGAAATATTAATCCTACATTAAAGAAAATGAAAAATGAAAAATATAAATGATAACTGAATTCAACGCTAATATAAAACTTGGGTGTCTGGTGTTGGTGACACTGCTTGTTGAAATCGTAGCCGTTGCCGATGATGGGGAAGGGGGGTCGCAGGTGTTGGTTACAACCCACTGGCTAGTTCTTCACAGTATAGCTTTGAGTATTCTATCCCGATGACAAGAAAGCAGGTTCTTTACCGCTGTAATGATGAGGTGTTACGTCCTGCAATTTTATACAGGTGCACAGGTAATTAAATCCAAAAAGGGAAAGTCTCAGGACGTTAGTCCATCTCCATCAGTTCTACTCGTTGATTGGCAGGTGACCCTCTCTGTCATCCAAGCTGGAAAGATAGACAAGTTACCCACTGCTTAAGAAATCACTCTCCATGATAAGTACAATACCTAAAAGATGTGGTGATTATTACAACAGTCAACTTAGAGCAAAACTGAAAGGACTAAGTTTATTATTGGTCAAAAGTGAAGCTTTCAACCAATAAATCCACTAGAATACAAGGCAGGAATGTACTTACAGTAGTTCTGGGAGCTGTGAGTCTAGTGATTACTGTTTGGACCGGAGCCCCACACGTCACCTTTCGGTGGGGGGGGGGGGAAGAAGGAGGGGAAGGGATAGCGGGAGCTAGACTGACCCTACCTTAACAAGCAGCCGGCAGTCAAACTATCACTTTCAGGGTGGGGGAAAAAAGGCGGGAATAGCGGGAGCTTGACTTACCCTACCTTAACAAGTAGCCGGCAATGAAACTATTGTTACTATATACTCCCTCGCTACTCCTATCTATTGAACTTTTCCCTCACAGTGGGTGAGATGCTATCAACAAATTTTGTTGGAAATAAGAAAAAGTTTTGGTATGGGATTAATAAGTTGAGAAAGCCGGACAAATAGATTTGACAATTAAAAATAGGAGAGGAGAGTTATTTGATGGAGAGTTAGAGGTATCAGAAAGATGAAAGGATTATTTTGAGGAACTGTTAAATGTTGATGAAGATACGGAAGCTGTGATTTTGTGTATTGGGCAGGGAGGTATTACATCTTGTAGGAGTATGGAAGAGCCAGTGTGGGAAAAATGTGTGAGGCAGTGGGTAGAATGAAAGTGGGGTAAAGCAGCTGGGAATGCTGGGATAAAGACAGAAATATAAAAAGCAGGTGGGGATTTAGTTTTGGAGTGGTTAGTGCTTTTATTTAATAACTGCCTGGAAAAGGGTAAGGTGCCTAGGGATTAGCAGAAAGCATGTATAGTTCCTTTACATAAAGGCAAAGGGGACGACAGTGTAAAAATTATAGGGGAATAAGCCTTTTGAGTATACCGGGTAAAGTGTATGATAGAGTTATTGAAAGAATTAAGAGTAAGACAGAGATCAGGATTGTGGATGAACAAGGAGGCTTTAGGAAGGGTAGAGAGAGTGTAGACCAAGTGATTTCAGAGAAACATATAGGTGAACAGCATTACGATAAGGGTTAAGGGGTTTTAGTGGCATTTATAGATTTGGAAAAGGCGTATTACAGGATGGATAAGGAGACAATGTGGCAGAAGTTGCAAATGTATGAAATAGGAGGTAGGTTACTGAAAGCAGTGAAGAGTTTTTACGGGGATAGTGAGGCTCAGGTTAGAGTATGTAGGAGAGAGAGAGATTATTTCCTAGTTAAAGTAGGCCTTAGATGGGGATGTGTGATGTCATCATGGTTGTTCACTATATAGATGGGGTTGTAAGAGAAATGAATGCTTGGGTGTTGGCGAGAGGCGTGGGATTAAAAGATAAAGAATCTAACACAAAGTGAGAGTTGACAGTTGGTTTTTGCTGATGACACTGTGCTTTTAGGAGATTCTGAATATAAGTTTCAGAGGTTGGTGGACGAGTTTGGCAGGGTATATAAAAGAAGGAAATTAAAAGTGAATATAGGAAAGAGTAAGGTGATGATAAAAAAATTAGGTAATGAAAGATTGAATATCAGATTGGAGGGTGGGAGTATGGAGGAAGTGAATGTATTCAGATATCTGGGAGTGGACTTGTCAGGAAATGGAACTATGGAAGACGAGGTGAATCATAGAATTGATGAGGGGAAAAGGTGATTGGTGCACTGAAGAGTCTCTGGAGACAAAGAACGTTATCCATGGAAGCAAAGAGAGGAATGTGTGATAGTATAGTTATACCAACGCTCTTATATGGGTGTGAGGCATGGGATGGCGAATGCTGCAACTAGGAGAGCCCTGAGTGGGGGATCTCCTAGTTACAACCACCTCAACAGTCCCTGAGGAGGGGCTGTTGAGGTGGTTCGGACATTTAGAGAGGATAGAAAGAAAAAGAATGGAGGGAGAGGGTAAAGGAGGTTTTGTGTGCGAGGGGCTTGGATTTCCAACAAGCATTCGTGAGCTGCTTTCGTTTAGTGGATTGCTGAACATTGATTCATATTGTATTTTTTTCAGAATTTCACACATTTCATTTTTATCGTCAGTGTATGAAACTCATGTGAGATAGGAGCGAGTGGAGACAAATGGTTTTTAGGACTTTACGTGCTGTTGGAGTGTGAGCAAGGTAATATTTATGAAGGGATTCATGGAAACCGGCAGGCCGGACTTATATCCTGAAGGTGGGAAGTACAGTGCCTGCGCTCTGAAGGACGGCTGTCGATAGGATGTTTTATAAATGCAGTGTAGGCGCGCCTCTAGTAAGACAGTAATGGAATAAATGGTGAACGTGTTTTTTTTTACTTTTTCAGGTCACCCTGCCTTGGTGAGACACGCCCAATGTGTTAAAAAAAAGGATGCACTTGTAGGTAGCAGACATAATCTGTCTTAGGTAAAGGGAGTATCTTAAATCCATATTCAGTGTCAAAAAATAATTGAATCAAAGATAATTATCACTCATAATTTGAATAAAATTGACGAAAGAAAAAACACTGCCTGTAAGCAGAAATTAATTAACTAGTATCAAAAATATTATTAATTATTAATAATAAACTTGACAAATTCTTGAATAAGAGGATATGAACATGTGAAACAAATCTATTTTAAAAGGCAGGAATTAAAAAAAAACTCTCGCTGTTTCATTTAACAGACAAAGATTTTCCATCATCGATTAAATTCTCAGTTATTCTCGTTGGCTGACACGAACTGACAATGTCTCTGACCTTATTTAAAAGAAGGATATGGAGAGTGTTTACTGCAGAAAACTAAAGAGCATTTATATCTCAAGGTTCTCCTGAGAGTCGCAGTCTTACATCTCTTCATCAGGTGAAGTAAACAGATTTTAATATTAGCCAATTCGAACTTATACTGAGACCTACATAAACGCCATCCTTAACAACCAGAAGTGAGAAGATCAAAATTCCTATTATTGTGAGCAACTCAATAACTTCTCATTGGAATATACCAACAATTCTTCTTCCTTGTTTCATACAGTTCATATAGTTAAATTAATTGCGTTAGTAATGTAGCTATTTAAATAAAAACGTTAGTGGTGAATGATATTTCTGTGAACAACAGGCCTTTTAGGTGTGTTGGTACTGATGGCACCGAAGGCTGCAGTGCGACTGCGGCCAACACGGTAGAAACTGGAAGACAATCACAAGGTTTTTAAAGTGGTTCTACGTATACAGTCGTTATGTATTCCTGTCACGGAGTGATGGTAGGTGAGAGGGTGATAAGACTGGCAAGCATGAGAGGAGTTCCTCAGGAGTCAGTTCGGGAACCAGTTCTGTTCCTAATATATGTAAGCATCCTGAGAGAAAGATAAAATTCTACTGAGGATAAAGCCGTGGAGATGACAAAGGTAAATTATAAGAGGAACTGAACGGACTTAAGGATTTTTTAAAAGAAATGGCTAATGTAATTCATCTTCAACATGTGCAAAGTTCTACAAAACAGAGGGGCTTTTGATCTTGGGAATTGGTTCTGGTTCCCAATTCCCTGAATTAAGCCTGAATACCTTCCATCACCCCCCCCCCCTACAGGCGCTGTATAATCTTACGGGTTTAACGCTTCCCCATGATTTTAATAATGCAAAATAGAGAGGGGGAGCAAACTAGCGCTGGAGAAAACGCTGGAGAGACTGTAACTACCAATTTCGAGTTGAGAGAATGATTATGTGAAGAGTTTCGTACCAAATACATCAGTGGGAGAGCACATCAACAAATACATCAGTGGGAGAGCACATCAAAAAATCAGCACAAGCAACATGTGAATGTCTAGCAGACAAGAGAGCAATACTCAGAAACTAAAAAAAATCATCCAGGATTGTATATCTGATTCATGTCAGATCTAACCCATAGGTAACAGTTCATTCAAAGAAAATGGAAAAGGGTTAGAGATCTGCAACAAGACTAGGCACAGAGCTGAGAAACTTCACCTACGAGATCATTAGATAAAAGAAGATCCAGGGGATATAAAATCGTGTAAAAAATACTCGTAGGACTTGACACGGTAGACATGATATTACAGCCCAGGAGTCCAAATGGCCTGTTATCCTGGGTGTAAAGGGAGCAAAATAAACACAGCAGAAAAGTTTTGACTTATATTATCCTTCACCAATTTTTAGAACAGCAATATGTACACTATACACTATGTACAGTGATAGGTATTAGTGCACTCCACGGTAAGCAAGGCAGAATAGAAGCCACAAGAGAGCAGACCGTGCTTCAACCAGCTCTAGAATGGGAATGACAAGGGCAGACAGGAGAGTGGTACCCACATAACCTCTGCGATTGCCAAAACCATCTTCTTATTGGCTGGAACCTGGTTACTAGTTGAACGACGGGGCCCCATCATCAACTCTTAGTCACCTGCTTCGCTGGTTTGGGGTGTGTACATGCGCCGAATAAAGGTTACGTACTCTTTGCATGCCACACATGACATGAGTTTCATAGGCTAAGATCGAGGACAAATTAGCATTAATGGAAGTTAAAGACGCAGGTAAATCACGTACGTTAGGAAATACTACTTCAGCCAGAGGGTGGTCAGGAAGTGGCACGAATTAGTCTAGGAAAGGATTGACGTCAATACAAAGTTTTATGGATAGGTACGACAGGATCAGTGAGCCAAGAAACCGCTCCTTAATACCACTGTTATTACCTCACCGCAAATACCTCAAGCATAGCAGAACCACCACTACTACTACTACTAGTACTACTAACAATAATAATAATAATAATGCTAATCACTACCACCACTACTACTACTACTATTACTACCGCTACCACCACCACTACTACTACTACTACTATTACTACTACTGCTATCACAACCACCATTTCACCACTACTAGTCCTACACTACCACCACTTTCACTCACGTGTGGTACCATTACCCAAAATAGTGCTTGAGGTGTAAGACAAACATATAACTCTTAAGAAATGTTTTGGTTTATCACAGGTGAGTAAAATATTATGTGAAGTATTTTGGACAACAATTAATTTTATGTAAAATATGATGATCAAGGAATAATTTTATTTAAAGTCTTATGATCAAATAATATCTTGTGAATTATTGTAGACGAGGGTTAATTCACACACCTTTGCATATACACATTTATTCCTTGCTAAATCATCATTCTTCATTATTTTATTCAACTTGTTGACACTTTCTCCCACTTCTGCTTCAACATCCTCATGTTTCCTCGCATGTTCTCCTAATTCTCCTGTTTCCATACACCACAATTTATCCTACATTTACTTACGTCCTCATAGTTTATTCTACATTCACATTCTCCTCACTTCTCCACCTCATGAATATATGACAGGGTTAGCAAACTGATCTCATAAAAATCTCGCTACTGGTGACTCAGTTTTCCCCACGAATGGATTTTTTCCCTCGTTTTGATAGTTATGCAATTATTTAGATTCATGGTACATAGACTATTGGTTATATCAGTACATAAACAACTGGTTATATTTTTAATATTAGTTATATATGTAACATCCTCACTCATCCTTCAGAGTGCAGGTACTGTACTTCCCACCTCCAGAACTGTAAATATCGCAAACCAAGAAATACAGGATGCAAAACAACCAGGGGGGGGGGATAGAATGATAGCTCTAGGCATTTCATGTTGCAATCAACACATCATCAGGAGCTTGTAAAATTGCAGAAGAGAGGAGGAGTTCTAGCAAATAATGTTCCCAAAGGACCGCCTTTACTGAAGTAAGAGAAAAGTGTAGGGAGAGCACCGGAAATGACCAGGCACCCCAAGGGCAACGTGTCTCTTTAAATTATGAGAGAAAACTGCCCCGTATATGGGGGAAGACTTCTACAAGTTATGTAAAGGAAACTGGGCTCATTAAAAATAAACGCATTTAAAGGGGGAAGACATCTTCAATAACAAGGAAACCACATAATTCTGAGGCAAACTCTGGTTCAACCTTCAGAAACTGCAGGAGAAATAGTATATATAAGGCCCAATTCCTCGATGTGGTACTACACTAAGGCAGTTTCATGCATTCATATAAAAACACAATTTTAAACTGTGTACTATTGCCTCAACTAAATACGCATCTAATTTGAACAGTCCATCACTGATATTGTATAATGACTGCCTATCATGTTTAATATTGCCGATTCTACAATATTCCGTTCAAGCCAAGAGGAACAGGGGAAAATTACTCTTGCTTCCTGCCAATTTCCTGGATTATTACAGGCTCTAATGTGGTTGAAAATCGCGTTTGACTTCTGTGCTATACGTATCGAATAATGGTGCTGGGACATTCTCACTTCTAATGATTTTCCAGTTTGCCCCAAATAGGTGAGACTGCAACCAATGCAACCAACTCTGTAGACACCACCAACACGTTGTTGGGGTACATTCTTTATCAGGATGCTTCTAACAGTCCGTGAATTTTTAAATACTACATGTATATTAAATCTTCTAAGAGCATTCGGCAGGATGAATACATTCTGGTTATATGGGAGGACCAGCACATTCTTGGTCTGAGGTGTTATCCAAGTTTCTGTTCTATAAAAAGTTTTCTTAGCTGCCAGCAAGGCAGATTCCATAAACACTTAAGGATAT